CTTTCAGGAAAAATGCGAAAATATATTTTTGAGTTAACATAAAAACCAGACAGTATTTCAATGTTGGTAGATTTTAAACCAATATAAAGTTTTATTACAGTTTGGTAATGGTAAGAAGCAAGGTAAAAACTTAGTAACGTATTTTTTGCCTCACTTGTATATGTCTATTATAAAAGGCTACATGTTATTAATACAATAGTAATAATTCAGGGGGTTTTGTTCCTGTATAATTTTAGCAAAGCTTTCAAACTTATGAATTCTAATGAAGTGTCATATTATTTCTCTGCTATTCATTGAAGTTGAGCCTAGCAGGAGTCCTTTACAGCAAGAAGGTAAGAACTTTCATAAGAAAATTAACAAAAATCTAAATACAAGATGGATTTAAAATGAGTTTTCCCAAATCACCCCCTTTTTAAAGATCAAGTCCTGCTGATGGTTACTGGGATGCATGGTTATAAATCACCCAGGGTAATCCCATGGTGCCTTTTACATGTACACAAGCACTCACATGCACTTGGTTGACTGCACTGCTGCAGGGCTAACCCTGAGCTGATAAACTCAGCTGTGACCTGACTTGTGACTTACTGAGAACAGGTACAGAATCATCTAGGTTGGAAAAGACCTTGACGATCACCTAGTCCAACCATTAACCTAACACTGACAGTTCCCAACTACACCATATCCCTCAGTGCTGTGTCAACCCAACTCTTGAACACCTCCAGGGATGGGGACTCCACCACCTCCCTGGGCAGCCCATTCCAACGCCTAACAACCCCTTCTGGAAAGAAATGCTTCCTAATATACAGACTAAACCTTCCCTGGCACAACTTGAGGCCATTCCCTCTTGTCCTGTCACTTATTACTCGGTTCAAGAGGCTCATCCCCAGGTCTCTGCACCCTCCTTTCAGGGAGCTGTAGAGAGCGATGAGGTCTCCCCTCAGCCTCCTCTTCTCCAGACTAAACACCCCCAGTTCCCTCAGCCGCTCCCCGTACGACCTGTGCTCCAGACCCTGCACCAGCTTCGTTGCCCTTCTCTGGACACGCTCGAGTCATTCAATGTCCTTTTTGTAGTGAGGGGCCCAAAACTGAACACAGGAATCGAGGGGCGGCCTCACCAGTGCCAAGTACAGGGGTCAGATCCCTTCCCTGTCCCTGCTGGCCACGCTATTGCTGACACAAGCCAGGATGCCATTGGCCTTCTTGGCCCCCTGGGCACACTGCTGGCTCCTGTTCAGCCGGCTGTCAATCAACCCCCCAGGTCCCTCTCTGACTGGCAGCTCTCCAGCCACTCCTCCCCAAGCCTGTAGCGCTGCTGGGGGTTGTTGTGGCCCAAGGGCAGCCCCCGGCATTTGGCCTTATGGAAACTCCTCCAGTTGGGCTCAGCCCATGGCTCCAGCCTGTCCAGGTCTCTCTGCAGAGCCTCCCTGCCCTCGAGCAGATCAACACTCCCACCCAACAACAGGCTGACCTGCAAAGACTGTCAGTTACTGAATACAGAGAGTAGATGTATGTGCAGATTCCTTCCATAGGCATTATTGTAAAGAAAGTAACATAAAAATGTTGTAAAACTAATTCCCAAATAATTAGTATCCCATATAATATCTAAAGCATCATTTTTCGTTAAATTCTTACAAGCATCCTCTGCATGCATTGTATATCACTTAATCTAGATCCACTAAAACCACATTAGCATTAGAAACAGAGGCCTGACTATGATCAGAAACAATTCAGGGCTCAGTTTTACAGTGAACAAAATCGAAGTTCAGGCAGGAGAGAACATCTCCATGTTTTTCATGTTGTATGTGGAATAAAAAAATACTAAAGTTTCTCACAGTTATATGCATTAATTTCAGGCAAGAACGAAGAAACTCACCCACCTCTTCATGTCTCTGTTTGGCCACTCATTTTCTTGGCTATTCTTGCTCTTCTTGGAGCCGGCATGTCAGTCTATTTCTACAAGAGAAAAAGACAAAAACAACTATCAGCAGATTCTGGCAATGATACACTTCTAAAATAATGGTTTGGTGACTGAAGAATGGTGAGAATGGGTCCTGTGGCATGTACCATTTCAGAGGAGAAAGGTACTTGCTGAAATTAAAGGATGTATCTGTTAAAAGTCCCTAGTGAGGATATTTCTAATCTTAAATTAAATCCCTTTTCCCTTTGTGCACTGGCAGACTCTTTTGTATCAGGTATATTTCACAAAGTCAGTATATTATGGATGTTATAATTTTGTAACAGTCAAGATGTTCTCAAGTGCATTAGCAAAACTACTAGTGCAAATAACTTGTCAAATACAAATAAACACGCTGAAAAAAGTACTATAGAAGTCAACTAATGAGAATGAATATTCAAGAAGGTGTGATTACTATTTAGAACTGTATTCCCCTGACTTTCTGGACACTGCAAAGAAATAAAAAAAAAAATTTGCCCAACTCTGTTGCAATCTTGAACTTGTTTTGCCCCACAAGCTTCACTCCATCAGACAAGCACTTTTATTGTTCCTTGTAGCTGTATCCTATTACACTTATTAAATAGTGCTTCATATACTTATCCCAGATAATTTAGGATAGAAAACCTTGCCGTTTTCACCTTCTGCTATGGAAAATACAGTTCATACCAGCAAAGGATATTAGGCTTAGATGTAGGTTTTGGTCTTTTTTCTGTCTTTTCTTCCTAACAATATGATTGTTAGCTGTAGTATGTGAATTAAAATATTCTCACTCTTGCATTCTTCCTTCTTTTTGTTAATGCTTGGAAATAAATAAAGTTTTTATAAGTGTAATTTTCAGCTTCAACCTTCCCTGTGAATCAAATGAGAAGAAAGGGGAAGAGAAGTCCTTCTGCCTGCACAGTAACTCTTTTGTCAATAACAGGGAGGGCTTTTCTCGTTGCCACTTTGAATTCAGCTTGAAAAACACCAACTTGCCATTTTTAAATGTGACAAAAAGGAACTAAAAACTAAGGAATGCAGCAGATGATACTGTAGTAGGAATCTGCAAGAAGACTAAGTTTAAGATGCTAGAAAAACAGTAGAAAGCAGTACAAAATAGCATTTAGGTGAGTGGCAAATATAATTTAGACACCAAACACTTTATGCCTCAGCAAACAATCTGCTTTCCCCAGGCTGCACAGGGTCTACTGAGCAGGCTGGAAGGTTAAAAGAAATAATAATAAAAAGTAATAAAGTTTCTTTTCTGGGCACTGGGCTCCTGTTTTTTTTTGTTTGTTTGTTTGTTTGTTTTTTTTTTGTGTTTGCGTTTGTTTGTTTGTTTTGTTTTGCGGGGTTTTTTTGCATAAATACAATCAAGAATTTAGCACCCTGGTGAGAACAGGTTATTTCACAAGTGAAATTTAACATGCAGGACACTGACCCAAAAAGGTTTGTAACGAGTGTCAGGCTGGTTGGTCATGTAAAAGGGGCAGCTCTGAAGTTCTCAATTCCTCTTTCAGACTACCCCAGTGTCTGCACTAAACTCCCCCTGTCGCTCTGCAGCCCTGGGGAGCTGAATTCTCAGAAGCATCCATTTACACAAGAGGGGGACTAAAGCCCACTTTGAACCAGAGTGCAGCTGGCATTTTGCGATGCAGAGGAGGGCATCAGCAGGAATTGTGTCCTCCGGGTATTTTCCCTTAAGATCCCTTCTGTTGGAGTCATCTCATTTGTGATTTCAGATGTATCCAAAACATGGTTTCACTTAGTAAATTCAGTTTCTATTTCTCTCCCATCCAGTTGTTTTCTGTGGCACCACTCAGTTTTATAACTTTGGGCTACTCCTGCAAGACTTGCTCACACTAAGCTTTCCCTGAATGTCACCTGCAAATAGAATAGTTATTATTAAACAGTTTATTCAGTTTGCACTTTTACTGAAATCCAGCCATTATTTTCTGAAGATTTTTTCTCTTTTAATACTTTTTAAGTTCACAAGATTAGCCAGTTCATTCAATAATTTTTCTTAACACCTTTATAATTAAAAGCAAAGATAGCTGCTCCTCATATGACATCATCTGTTCAGCTTCTATATATATATATATCTACTATTTCACTTCTTGCTTTTTTCAATTTCATTATCATTATTTCTTTTAATTTCACTGATGTAAATAAACAGAAGAAACAGTAGGATTTGTTTGCATGTGAATATTTGCCAGCACAGCTTTGCGGCATAATTGTACAAGAATTGCCATGCCAATATATGTCTTCAGACAAACACTTTGTTCACAGATTAAAAGAAGCTTTTCCAATTTAGCTTATGTTTGGCTTTGTCCTGGAACACTCTCATTAGGAATTTCTCAGATAGATGAAAACATCCATTTGCTTGACAAAAGTATTCCAGGCAAAAGTTTCTCTCCTGTTACAGGGAAGCTTATCATTAGCCTATAGCATTGAACATTTTCCCTTCTTTCAGATCTTCAACAAGTAGTTATAAACAGCCCAGCCTCAAACTGTGATCAAAGGAAGTGTAACAGTGCAGAAAAAAAAAAAAGCAATATTAGCCCTCAAAGTGAGCAGTAATTGACAGTGCAGTGAATACTACCGGTCCTGTAAAATTTGTTCTCTTTCTTCTAGATGTGTAGATATAGAGAAGTACTGAACCACTGGGGTTTTGTCTCTTTATTCCTGAGACGTAAGGGTTAAAGCAGAGGCTTTTTAAATCAATGATATTTCACTGCAGGTTTCTTGTCAACAATTCTCAAGTTGCTTTTTTAGATATCTGTCCTGTGCAGGACCCCAACAACTGATCTATATATAATACTAGCAAAGTTCCAGAAAAAGACAAATGTCACCACCTCTAGTTACATGGATGAAGACTTCGGTTTTGGAAGTCACTCTCTCTTCAGAGAGCAGTGTTTACAATGTGCACTGTAGTTATTTCAAAATACCACATGACAGGATATTTCCTTATTTAGAGTACAGATCTTTATCCATCAAGCCTTTGACACAGAGGACCTATTGCTATCCTCACTCAGAAGGATTTTATCTACTGCCAACCTTATAGTTCAACTTTTGGTAGAGAAATGAAAAGCAAGTTACGTTTGCAATGAGTTTCTTCAGGTTCCTAGTCTTTCTTTCCCTCGTGCATGGTTCATTACAGTCACTGGGTAAGTTTTCTGATGGTTTTGTGTTAAACTAGATATGAAAATGCTTTTCCTTGGGCAGCTTTACAGTTTTAATGCATAGATTGATTATTTCGTATTTGTTAACAGATTTGATACATGATCTAAAGGGTATACTTGGTATTATCCTGGAAGTTCTTGATTCACAGAATAAAAGGGAGATGTAGGGACATTAGGGGAAATGGAGGTAATAAGATCAGATTATTTAAAACAGAATTTATTTATGTGGGAATATTAAATCAGATGGCACTGTATGGGAGGGCGATGAGAGATGGAGGAAGCATGGAGCATTCATCCTCCCCATCACATCCATTGTGCAGTGATCAGTCAAGGGGGTTTAGAGTCATGTTTTCATGATAGCTGCACAAGTTTCTTTTTTTGCTCTGAGACATGAAGTATGAGAAAGAAGAACTGGCTCCTCCCCTTCAGTCTGACCAAATTGGAACAGTTCTAGTCTGAAGACAAAAATCACTCATTTGGTATAGCTATAGAGAGAAATGGTAAAGGAGTAATATATGTAGCACTGAGCAGAAGAATGTTTTTGCATGAGTGTGAGATTGAGAGTGTCTAACAGAAATTTCAGAATAAAAGAATGCTTCTGTAATAGTGTGATAGTTTAAAAAAGATGAAGCGTTGCCAGTCTTAGAGAATGAGTTGAGGGTGAATCTGCATGACCTCTCCAAGTGCAGAAATTTTTACTGTGTATATATGCTTATGACAATCTGATCATGATCTGTATTCTCTTTGCACATCTATCCTTTTTCTTTAAACAATTAATGAAAAGATGGAATGATAAAGGGAACCTATTGAGCTGTACAGAATACAACAATGCAGTGAACTCGTTTGTGATCTGCTTGTGTTTTTTCTGTTGTCAGGACTTATCAGCAACTTATCATCACAGAATTTGACTTTCCTACAAGCCTATATATCAAACTCTAAACACAGTGTTTAAAACCCCAAATTTAATAAAACATATTATTTAAAATATCTAGCTACACAAGGGGAAAATATGATAAAAATTAGTCAAAAATAGATTATGTGATCTCTCAATATAGATAGACAGATATACTGATAGTTAGATCCACTACCAGAAAGTCATATTTATGATTTTATGATTATTTTCATTAGTCATCTTTACCCTTTCTTCCCCCTAAGATACCTTTACATTACAAGGAAATGCCAATGGACAGCCATGTGTATTCCCTTTCAAATATGAAGGCAAACAGTACAATGAGTGCACAGATGCTGGTAGGTCAGATGGCTGGCTCTGGTGTGCGACAACTGCAGACTTTGATGCAGATAAACGATATGGATTTTGCCCACTAATAAGTAAGTCCTGCATTTTATTTATTAAATTGTCATGAAACATTGTTGAGAAAACCTATTGAGCTACCATGTTCTTTATCAGCTACCAGCTACCAGCAGCACACCCTCACGACACTTGTCAGAGTAGACCAAATGAAAATCATCTGATTGAACATAAGCCCCAGTAGCCAAGTGCTCCTTCTATAGTGAGTGGAGAGGAAGAGGTGCGTCCAAGAGGCTGGTCTGTGGTTCAGCCCAGCCAGGTTCTGACTCACCTACTGGAGGTGGCTGTTTCTCTTTGTAGACCAGAGAGGTGAAGAGGCTCTTTGATATCTCATGTTATGTGACTTAAGTGCATGGCATGACCAGCGTGAATTTAGACACATATCTCCCTTACAAAAATTTTCCATTGCTCTTTATTTCTTAGGCATGCCCTGTAGGTCAGTTCTCACTTTAACTGCAGTATACTGTTTTTTTCCCAAACATCCATTTCTTATATTGTTCTTGTCTCCTACAGCTTTTGTCAGCCTACACAAAAATGCTGCTGCTAAAATTATCCTCCTCTCCCATATTTGTTCTATCTTCTGCACTGAATTTATGTTTGGAACCCTCCACCTCGGGACACAAACTGTTTCACTTTTCTTACCAACTGCCTTCCCAATAGCACAACAGTTTCAGAAGGTTTTGTAAGTTGTTCTGCAAAGGAAGACTGCAGCTGACCTGCACGTAGGTGCTACATAGACTGTTTTTATAGCTCCTCAAGCTGTCAAGGGCCAGGTTCTGCCATTTTTGAAAAAGCTGCTTCTCTTGATGATGAACTAAGAAGCAGTTCCTGCCCCACAGGGATGAAGAGCCTCCAGGGTTCACCTACAGTGAACTCTACAGTTCACCTACACGCTTACTTTCCTCCTCTGACATCACCCTGCAGTCTCTTTTTTCAATCAACAAATATGTCTGGTTTACATAGGTATGGTTTACATTTTACGTAAAAGAAAATCTAAAAGCAAATATTGGAAACCCATTCACTCCCTTCTAAAAACTTATAAATTTAAAATAATATTTTTAATTTCAAAAAAATTACATTAAAAAAAAAATATGTCTAAACTGATTTCATTTTTTCTGGTACTTTAAAATTGATGATAGCATACATTTAATACTGTGCATTTTTAGAGATTTTGCATCATTATATACTTCACTGGCTTTTAGTTGGTGCAATGTCAATCTTCAAACAACAGTGCTCTATGTCTTCTTCCAGATGACACAGAAAGATTTTGGATGGAAGATGTCTCAACTGGCATTCACTATCAGATAAACTCAGAATCAGCTCTAACATGGCACCAAGCAAGGAAAAGCTGTCAGCAGCAAGATGCAGAACTCTTAAGCATCACAGAGATTCATGAGCAAGCATATATAGGAGGTAAAATGATAGAGACCAAGACCTTAAAATATGCTGCCCCAGAGGTTTAGATGATGAAGTTGGCTACCTTGTCTTCTGTCTCAGCAAAGAAGACAGAATGTCAGGGGTGGTTCAGCAGCTGCCAAAAGGGAGATTGTCTGAACGGCCCTTCCACTAGCTGTTGTGTTTTTTTTATGAAGGGTTGGTTCCAAACCTCTACAGGGGGGAAAATGGCCCCATTCCACCTTTGTGCTCCAGGTGGGAGCTACTACATCTTCTGGATCCTGTCCAAAGGGGAGGATTTCCCCTGCTTGCCTTCACGATGCTGCACTCATTCCTGAGCAGGGCTATGGTCTGGTCCTCAAATGTATCTTTTTCTCTGTGTTTCAAGGATTATTAATCTTCTAGGAGAACATATGATAATGATCTCTTATAGAATCATAGAAAGGTTTGGGTTGGAAGGGACATTAAAGATCATTTAGTTCCAACCCCACAGGCAGGGACACCTTCCACTAGCCCAGGTTGCTCAAAGCCCCGTCCAACCTGGCCTTGAACACTGCCAGGGAGGGGGCAGCCACAGCTGCTCTGGGCAACCTGTGCCAGTGTCTCACCACCCTCACAGGGAAGAACTTCTTCCTTATAGCTGATCTAAATCTACCCTCTTTCAGTTTAAAACCATTACCCCTTGTCCTATCCCTACACTCCCTGATAAGGAGACCCTCCCCTTCTTTCTTATAGGTCCCCTTTAAGTACTGGAAGGTTGCTATAAGGTGTCCCCAGAGACTTTTCTTCTCCAAGCTGAACAAACCCAGCTGTCTCAACCTGTCCTCACAGGGGAGGTGCTCCAGCATCCTGATCATCTTTGTCTCCCTCCTTTGGACCCAGTCAAGCACGTCCATGTTCTTCTTATATCAGGGTCCCCAGAGCTGAACACAGCCCTCCAGGTGGGGTCTCATGAGAGAGGAGTAGAGGGGTACAATGCCCTCCCTTGACCTGCTGGCCACACTTCTCTTGATGCAGCCCAGGATACAGTTGGCTTCCTGGGCTGTGAGTGCACATTGCTGGCTCATAGTCAGTTTTCCATCCACCAATACACCCAAGTCCTTCTCCACAGGGCTGCTCTCAATCCACTCATCGCCCAGCCTGTATTTGTTCTTGGGATTGCCCTGACCCATGTGCAGGACCTTGCACTTGGCCTTGTTGAACATCATGAAGTTCCCACCAGCCCACCTTTCCAGCCTGTCCAGGTCCCTCTGGATGGCACATCCCTTCCCTCCAGCATGTCAACCTTACAACACAGCTTGGTGTCATCACCAAACTTGCTGTGGGTGCACTTAATTCTACCATCCATGTCACCAACAAAGATGTTAAAAAACACTGCTTCCAATACCAACTCCTGAGGAACGTCACTCATCACTGCTCTCCACTTGGACATTGTGCTATTGACCACAACTATTCAAGTGCAACCATGCAGCCAGTTCCTTATCCACTGAGTGGTCCATCCATAAAATCCATGTCTTTCCAATTTAGAGACACAAATGTCATGTGGGACAGTGTCAAATGCTTTTCATGAATCCAGGTAGATGACGTCAGTTGATCTTCCCTTATCCATCAGTTCTGTGCATAGAAAGCCACCAAATTGTCGAGCATAGTTTGCCCTTAGTGAAGCCATGGCTATCACCAATCACCTCTTTATTTTCCATATGTAATAGAATAGTTTTCAGGAGGACCCACTCCATGATCTTGCCAGGCACAGGGGTGAGACTGACTGCCCTGTAGTTCCCTGGGTCTTCCTTTTTTCCCTTTTAGAAAATGGGGGTTAAGTTTCCTGTTTGCCAGTCAATGGGAACTTCAACAGACTGCTATGATTTCTCAAATAAGCTGGACAGTGACTTAGCCACTCTATCTGCCAGTTCCCTCAGGACACATCTCACCAGGTCCCATGGACTTGTGCACCTTCAGGTTCCTTAGATGGTCTTGAACCTGATCTTCTGCTACAGTGGGTGGTTCTTATTTCTCCCATTTCCTGACTTTCCCTTATGTGTTGGGCAGTGTGGCTGGAGCATTTGTCAGCGAAGACTGAGGCAGAAAAGTTATTGAGTACCTCAGCCTTCTCCATATCTCAAGTAACCAGTTCTCCCATTTCATTTTGGAGAGGGCACACATATTCTTTAGTCTTCCTTTTATCATCAGTGTACCTATAGAAGCTTTTCCTGTTGCTCTTGATGTGCCTGGCCAGATTTAATTTTATCAGAGCTTTGGCCTTCCTAACCTGATCCATGGCTGCTCAGACAATTTCTCTATATTCCTCCCAGGCTACCTGTCCTTGCTTCCATCCTCTGTAGGCTTCCTTTTTGTGTCTGAACTTGTCCAGGAGCTCCTTGTTCATTCATGCAGGCCTCCTGGTGCTTTTACCTGACTTCTTTGACAGGATGCATCGCTTCTGAGTGTGGAGGAGATGATCCCTGAATATTAACCATCTTTCTTGGGAGTCTTTTCCCTCCAGGGCTTTACCCATGCTACTCTGCCAAGCAGATCCCTGAAGAGGCCAAGGTCTGCTCTCCTGAAGTGCAGGGTAGTGAGCTTGCTGTGCACCCTCCTCACTGCCCTGAGGATCTTGAACTCCACCATTCCATGGTCACTGCAGCCAAATCTGCTCTTGAGCTTCACATTCCCCACCAGCTCCTCCTTGTTGTAAGAACAAGGTCCAGCATAGCCCCTCTCCTCATTGGCTCCTCTACCACTTGGAGAAGGAACCTCCTGGATTGCTTGTGCCCGGCTGCGTTGCCCCTCCAACAGATATTGGGGTGGCTGAAGTCCCCCATGAAGACCAGGGCATGCGAATGTGAGGCTGCTCCTGTCTGTCTGTAGAGGGCCTCAACCACTTGGTTTTCCTGGTCATGTGGCCTGTAGCTGATTATAATGTCTCCTGTCCTGCCTTCCCTTTAATCCTGACCCATAAACTCATGGTTGGCTCCTCATCCATCCCCAGGCAGAGCTCCATGCACTCTAGCTGGTCACTGACATTATGTTGTTATGAAAAAAAGTGAGAGAAGTAAACTCATTTAAGTAGTGAAATGAGATTTTCATTTTCCCTTTTAACTACTGCTAAATCAATATTTATTCATATACCTATTTTACTTTTTTAATCTCTGCACCTCAGTAATGTAGAAAATACTGGATTGGGGCTGGCTTAAACTAAGAAATAGAAATTTCTTACTTTTGACTATGTTTCTTTTAGATGAACTTGCTAAGAATGAGAATAGGAAGATACAACTGACTTTTTTTCCTAATTTTTAGAGCTAATTAAAAAATTCAGTTTTGCATTCTGGATTGGATTGAATAGTTTGGATTTCAACAGTGGATGGCAGTGGGCTGGGGGCAGCCCTTTCAGATATTTAAACTGGGCTCCAGGTAAGAACCGTATCGATTTTGTATCTTTGAAGGAATTCTGATAAGACACCAACTAATAAAAACTACCCTAGCTACTTTTATTTCAGGAAAGTCCATTCTGGTTTATAATAGCTGAAGATCTAGATCTTTATTTTAAGAAGTACACTTCCAAATTACAAAGTTCACTATGGGTATCAGCTATAGCAAGTTCTTTTATATTCTTATATTCTTTTTATGAAAGCTGAGTATCATTTGGAGTGATAAATAATGCTACAGACCAGAGATCAGAATTTTTCCATAACATGTTGCCCAAGAGTTTAAATATAAATCATAGTTTCCAAAATCAGAAAAATATTTAGAAAATAATGACACTATGTTGTCTGTAGAAATATTAAATATTATTGAGAGGCTTACAGAACTAACTCATAATTCCTCAGCTGTTTATGCAAAATTGCACTGTGTCACCTCAATGAAGGGAGACAGGAATGGGTTTGTGGTGTTCCTCACACATGGGGAGTTCTTCTGTTTGATTGTTGCTTTTTTGGTCCTATGTTTCTTTGTGCCACGAGTATTTCAAGCTATTACCTATTTTGGAAATGTTACAAGGAGGTAAGGAATAATTAAACTTTCTTTTAAGTTTTCAAAAATTTGTATCAGACTATTGCTTTTGCTACTGTCATGGTTTGAGTCTAGAGGGCAACTGAGCACCATGCAGCTGCTTACTCACCCCTTCCCCCTCAGGAATGGAAAGGTAAAAAACAAAGCAAAAGGTTTGGGAATTGAGACAAGGATAGGAAGAAATTCACCCATTATGGTCATGAGTAAAAGACAGATTCAACTGGGGAAGAAAAAGAACATAAATTTAATTCAAACACCATCACCACTTAACAAACAGAGTTGGACAGTGAGAAGTATAATCATATCTTAAAAACACCTTCCCCTCACCCTTCCCCTCTTCCCAGGCTCAGCTTTGCTCCCAATTTCTCTACTTCCTTCCTCCTCAGTGGTGCAGGGGCAGGGGATGTGGTTGTGGTCAGCCCCTCACACGTTGTTGGTACTGCTCCTTCCCCCTCACACTCCTCACACTCTTCCCCTGCTCCAGCGTGTGGTCCCTCTCATGGGCTGCAGCACTTCCTGAGCTGCTCCAGTGTGGATCCCTCCCAAGTGTTGCAGTCCTCCTAGCGCCTGAGTACAACAGCAAGGTCTTCCCTCAGAGTCCTGGCCTTCTTCAGGTGCAGCCACCTGCTCCACTGTGGGGTCCTCCATGGGGTGCAGGTGGTCATCTGCTCCACTGTGGACATCCACAGGCTGCAGGGGAGCAGCCTGCCCTCTCACCACAGGCTGCAGGGGGCCTCTGCTCCAGCACGCCTACTGCTGCTTCCTCCTGACTTCGGTGTTCACACAGGTGTCCTCCTTGCAACACCTTCTCACAACTCCCACTCCTCCTCTGAGTTTCCCCTTCTTAAATATGTTATCGCAGAGAGAACTTTGAGAAGTTTCTCACAGAGGCTACCACTGCATCCCCCTCCCCCACTACCAAAACCCGACCACACACACAAACCCAACACAGCTACTTACAGAGGTTTATACACACTGCAGCACAAAAAGAGAAAAGCTATCTTATAGGAAAGTACAATTGTGAAATTCTTGAGATACACTGGAGGGATGGTATAATTTTAAAATCAGCATTGTTCAAGATTTTGATACAGCATAATGGTCTACCTTGAGCTGTTCTATCTGTGTGTGCCAGGATATGAGGAAAAGAACCAGAAATTTCCCCATGCTATCCTGACACAAAGTCAGTGGAGGATCATAGATAACTCTCAAAGCATGGACTAAAAGCATCATTCTATACACTACAAGAGTTTCTACTGATAATATGATGGGGTTTAAAATCTTTTTATTTATTTTTGCTGTGAGATTCTATTTTCTCTCTGACTCAAAGGAAGTCCTTTCCTGCTCCCTGGGAAAATCTGTGGAGTGATGAATCCTAGAAAGAATGCTACATGGGAAAACCAAGCATGTAACCAGAGACTCGGCTACATTTGTAAAAAGAGAAACTTCAGTTTAATGTCTGACATTATACCCAAAGGTAGGCTAGTCAAATAAAAAAAAAAAAAGATTTTTCTTTGACTTCTAGAAAGACCAATCTAGAAAGATATGGAACTAAATGGTATGCAACAGCCTTTTTCAACCAAGATGTTAGAAACCTTTGAAAACCACTGTTATGCATTCATGCACAGGCTTTTAGATATTGTTTTTGTCTTCCCATTGTGTATTAACCATTCATAGGAGAATATTATTATTTTGTTCCATCACTCTGCCATTCATTCCTGCAAGGCAGATAAAAGCTTCTCTGTCATGGTAACCGGTGCCAGCAATCAAATTTGCATTAATACAGTAGAAATTTTATGCCTCTCATTTTCTTCTCATTTGCTCCAAATGAGCCATTGTAGTTACTCTAATAGTAATGCAAAAACTCCTTCTCTGATGACAACAGTATGCAATGCATTGGGTTCATAGGTGTAGAGCAGGAGGACCAGCAGTATTCCCACAGGCTACATTTCACCCATGAGCCACCCAGACCTGAGGATTCACTGCCACAATGTGGCTATGAACGTGTCACACGCAGGAGGGAATCTGCTGGAGGCTGTCATCTGGGAATGTTAGAAAAACTACATTTAAAGAAGTAGTTACAGTAAAGAAAGGAGAGAAATAATTTCAGAGAACCTTTATTCCCTTATTAACCTTAAAAAGAAATGTAGGACTCTGTTTTTAAAGTAAGCTTAAGGTTAGTTTTTAGAGATATTTGGGAATAAATAGACACTGTACTTTAGTGATAAAAAAGACACTGAGTTAATATGAAAACTACCAACTCTGCACTAATTTGCACTATTTACTGACCTGCAGTTGCCAAAGAATTACTTCACACTTTTCCATATGTGAAAATTACGTGTGTTTGCAAGAAGACATTGAACAGGAGGCAGAGCCTAGTGTCAGCCATTGCATGAAGCATGGGAGACCAGGGCACACTGACCGAACTGTTCTGGGGCAAAGAGAGGAGAGGCTGATGTCTGCTTTGGTCTCTCTTTCCTCCCAGAGTATTATTTCAAATTGCATTTCTGACACAATATGGGCATTTTTCAATGATTCTCTTGGAGACATCATTCTATTTGCATATTTACCATACTGTGGCTTAATATCTGTTTTTCATTTGAATACATTTGCATTTCTAACTACAGCTTTATGTTTATTCATATAGTCTCACTTTTGTAAAGAGTGCTTAAGAGACCTCATTCTGGTGTGCTCTATTTTCCTCTTGGAAAAATTGCTCTGAAAAATTGTGCTTTGATTTTAGAGAAATTGAGATGCATTAAGTGCCCAGATGGCTGGTGGCCATATGCAGGCCACTGCTACAGCATTCAGCGGGAACTCAAAATATGGAAAGATGCTCTGACTTCATGTAAGAAGCAAAATGGAGATTTGGCAAGTGTCCACAACATTGCTGAATACAGCTTTCTAGTGTCACAGCTTGGCTACAGTGAGTATATATGTAGGCCTGTATTTTGTTGGCCCCATCTGTAACATAAAGGCTGTTTTTTTTTTTTTTTTTTTTTTTTTTTTTGAAATGTCACAAGTGGAAGGTTAAATATAATTTATGGTATTCTTTTCTGTCGTTGCTGTTGCATAAATATAGAAGTATATTTATCAAGAAATAATCTACATTGTAAAACCATGAAGGAGATGCATTGGCAGTGTTCTCATGGCTTGGGCTCAGTATGATCTCCTGACAGCTCTGGGGCCCCCAACATAAGAAGGACATGGACGTGCTCGAGCGGGTCCAGAGGAGGCCACAAAGATGATCAGGGGGCTGGAGCACCCCCCTGTGAGGACAGGCTGAGAGATTTGGGGTTGTTCAGCCTAGAGAAGAGAAGGTTCCAGGGAGACCTTATTGCAGCCTTCCAATACTTAAAGGGGGCCTGCAAGAAAGATGGGGAGGGACTCCTTATCAGGGAGTGTAGGGATAGGACAAGGGGTAATGGCTTTAAACTGAAAGAGGGTAGATTTAGATTAGATGTAAGGAAGAAATTCTTTCCTGTGAGGGTGGTGAGACACTGGCACAGGTTGCCCAGAGCAGCTGTGGCTGCCCCCTCCCTGGCAGTGTTCAAGGCCAGGCTGGACGGGGCTTTGAGCAACCTGGGCTAGTGGGAGGTGTCTTTGCCCATGGCAGGGGGGTGGGACTGGATGGACTTCAAGGTCCTTTCCAACCCAAATCATTCTACGATTCTTTGATTCTATGACAGATGAGACACTCATTGTTTTACTCTCCATGCCAAGGGTTATTTTGTTGTTCTGAATCACAGATACTTGGAAAGTTTGTAAATATGTTCTGCCATCCATAAACAGCCTTATGTTAAACTCAGTACAGACCAAGACATCGCTTGCTGCAGATCTGAGAGGAAACCAACATTTTTATTAAAGCACAAAGACCACTCCTCATGTACCACATCCAAACTTTATCATTCCCTGTTTGTTCCAGGTATGAAAATGTTCACTGTATTATGTAGTGGACTGTAAGCAAACCTATTTCTTTCCATGCTTCAGAGCCAACAGAAGAACTATGGCTGGGTCTGAATGACCTCAAGGCTCACTTCTATTTTGAGTGGAGTGATGGGACTCCTGTGACGTTCACGAAATGGCAGCACAGGCATCCTACCTACATAAACGGTCTGGAGGACTGCGTGGTTATGAAGGGACAGGTATAACCATGCAATCATTTTATAGTAATGCATATTAGTAACTACATCAGTCTGAAAACACTTGCCATTACACACTTATTAAGGAGTCATTTTTGTATTAATTTAAAATAGTTTTCCCCATAAATTTGGCATCAACCAGATGAGATGTTCAGAGGACAGAAGAGATCAGAAATAGAGACATAGCATTTTCCTGATTCTGTGTGATTCTGTGATTCCTAGTGCTACCTTTTGAAATGTCTTATCTGACAAAAGTCTGATCCAGAAAATTTATATTAGATTTTATATTAGATTCATTCTAATGCTGCAGCAATGAAAAAAGTTACAGCTCTGGGACAGGAAAAGGAATGAACTAGTTGTGTGGTTATCATGGATGCTATTTGCATATCTCATTTTCCAATCTGATAGACCATTATGTCCCTCAATGTCACTTCACTGAGACATGGCATTGAGGAATGGAGACCTGGTACTAGGGCATGATTCTTCAGCTCTGACAAAGAGCACTGACACTACCTGCCAAATACCTATCCTAAATCCTACAGTATTCTGACCACTTCACTCACAAACTTTATTTTCTTGCAACACATGGCTGTTTGACACGTTTACGTACATGTGCATGCATACATATATACACACAAAAAGTCATTAATTTTAAGAGAAACCTTGAAAATGCAGTTATTGAAAGAACAGTTGTATCGTAGAACAATATTGATGTTTGTCAGTATTAGGCATAAATAGAATTGATCCTAAATCAGAATTTATGGGTAAAAAAGCTCCTATTTAAATTTCATTTTTTACATAATTCTTTTTTTTTTTTTTTAAATAAATCAGTAATTTTCAGTCTTCTCCTTGATAGATAAAATAGATTTACTGCAACACACTCAAATGTGCATTATTTCAGTTTCATTGATCTTTTTTTCCAGAAGTGTTGTTCAATAATCCTGTTCTAAATGCAAATCCATTAGCTCCAGATGAGATGTCTATTTACAAATCCTCTCATTAAATAGATAGTTATGATAGCAAGTAATGCTGAGACTTCAAGATGTTATTTCCTTCTATCATCTCAAAACAGCATCAAATGGATCTTAAACCAATCCTGACAGATGTGTCTATATTTTTTTAAAAAATAAACCTTCAGCCATGATCCAATAGCCTTCCTAGGTGGCATATTTCAGTGGGCCTTGTAGTGAAGAAAGAGGAAAACTAGTTTTCTTATGTTTATGAATGCCCCTTTTTATTTTTTACATTAATTTCTTCTCCCTGATATTCTAGGATGGATACTGGGCAACTGATGTTTGTGATAAGCAACTTGGTTACATCTGTAAAAAGAAGCCTTCATCACAGTCCTCTGAAAAAGAGACAATCGAGGACCCAGGCTGTCAGAAAGTAAATGCTCTAATGCCCTCTCATAAATTAAATATTTTGGGAAAAATGAACAGGATTTAATTTGCTGGTTCTTGCTTCTTTTAGAGTCTTTGTGTTTGTATCTTCTAGCAAATCTGTCCTGAGGAAGCCCAGTCTTTTCCTACTATCAGATTACTAATACATGAGCATTTTTCATTTTTGATCTGATAATACTCAAAAAAGTCAAGGTTCATCTGCATGTACATGAATACTGCCTTTCCCTCCATTCTCAGATGAGCCACACTGTGACAAAATTACATGTATCTTTTAAATCATAATTTCACCACTATTGTTTCTGTTTATGCTCTTAGCCTAACAATACATGTGAAATTACCAAAAGTCACCTTTTCCCTTCTCTCAGATCTGTTGTCTATTTAAAGTCTTTATAAAGTCCTTACTATAAAGAACAATAAAAGAACAAAAATAATTTCAAAACAGAAAAGGATCAGCTTTCTGTACCACATTTCTACTGATAGACTACTTAGTTGGACTTTAAGTGATATCAGCAGGCTATTATTTCCAAACAAGTAATTTTCCCAGAATTTCAGAAAATCATTATGTCTAGATTGTTCAGCATAGATCTCTCTAGGAGTGGGAAGAAGCAGTGTTGTTTCACTGATATTCCTCCTTTCTACCCTCCCCATGAACAAGCACTGACTGGATTCCTTTTGGCTCAGAAAGTCTCACCTATTGCACTTAGGGGTGGCAGGGACAGCTTTGGGCAGCTGTGCTTGTATGTGAATTCATTTTCACATTGCAATATTTTTGTATTTCATTATGTAAGATCTCACAGCTCTGGAAGGCTGGAGTTGCAGATCCCTCTGAATGAATCACTTGTTTTTTATGGTGCAGTTTGCATAATCCCAGTTTAACAGAGAACTGGAAAGCAATAGCAAATAGCACAATTTTCCTTGAAAAGTCATGTACATGTAAAAGAGATGAAAACAAAAAGGCCTTCTGTAGGAGCAAACGGTAACATAAAACCAGCTTTTGTTTATTAACAAATCAGCCCAGTCTCATCTTGTTTTTAAGTTTAGCTGCAACAAATTTAACATGGACTATTCATACACAAAAGAGCAGAGCTAATTTCTATTTTGAAGTCTCTTTCAATTTCACAGTAAGAATCTTATGTTTATCACAGGGTTGGAAAAGATATGGTTCTCACTGTTACTTAGTGGGTTCTGCACTTCTGACATTCTCAGAAGCAAATAAGACATGTGAACAGAGCAAAGCTTATCTAGCTACAGTGGAAAACAGGTAGGAAAATTTTTTTTAATACCTCAAAATCATTGCTTCTGATGGAGAAACTTGTCCATTTTTTTTAACTTTTCAAAGTGTTTTATCAGCGCTTTTCAAAAATGTTGTAGTAGTAAGCCAAGTAAAACTATCCATGCAAGGGAAAAAAAAGACTCAATGGGTTTTCTACTTAATCTATTAAAACAGTTTTCAAATTTTGAGGATTCTTGAGTTAAACAGCTTTCTCTTATCTTTCAATTCCTAATTAAAGCAACTTCTATGCTATTTTTATTTTGTTTTGTTTTTCTGTTGGAAAGTAGTGCAATTTTAATCCATTTACCAATGGGTGTTATCTCATCATGATAGGAGAGATTCAACAACAATATTTTCATAAACTATCTTCTAAGCCAAATTCTGAGTAAATGTGGGAAATCTTGTCCAGGACCTGCCCCACCACAGATAGAATGTATCATCTCCAACCTACCTATATCTCACTCAGACTTTGCAGGCTTCATGGCCTCTGAGGAACATGACTACCTTCAGACATAATGGCTAGCAAAGCTGAAGGTTTGGCCCTGATGGTGGTCTGTTTAAGGTACCTCAAATATTTGGAAAGACAAGGAAAACAATAGAACACAACAACAAAATAGAAGCCCATGTAAGCTGTGATTTGTGACATTTCACAGAACTGGATGGAAAGGAAAGAAGATGCCTTCAGCTGAAAGGAGAAAGTCCCTCACCAAATTCTTTTGACCACACTTAAAAGACTGCTGAGGTTTTGCCTGAATTTCACTGAAGAGCTGTTGCCTTGGAGTCATGCTAGCATGATAGTGATACCTTTATTTGTACCACATAGATCAATATTGCTAGATAATGGATTGTGACTGAACACTGTTTTCCACTTCAGAAATGAGCAAGCCTTTCTGATTAGTCTAACGGGGCTGCGGTCTGAAAAATATTTCTGGATTGGTCTCTCTGACACAGAAGAACGAGGGAGTTTCAGGTGGACCAGTGGTGAACCTCTTCTCTTCACATACTGGAACAGAGCAATGCCAGGTAAGACCTGCATGGGCCCAACCCTTGTGATGAGTGCAACTGCAGTTTGTGTGGGTTTCTGCTTCTATCCCCTAGGGTTAGAAATTCGAGTAGGCATTTTCTTTTGTGGTTGTAGCTGTAGGTGGCCGACACCATCAGACCTTGTGTTTGATACTAGTGCAACAAGCACTATCACAGCTGAGTGTCAGGTGTTGTCTAAGTCAATCATCTCCTGCAAAGTTGTACAGAAACAGATTTTTAATGGGTTAGACTGAAGGCAATACTGTGCAGGAGTTAACAAGGTTCATGGTCTCATTTTCATCGACTTTTAAACACCAGTTAACAACAACTCATCAGATTGAGAAAAATTGTTATGGACAGTTTTTTGACCCGCAAGGTGTTTATGTGAGAAGCAACCAGCAAACATCCATCTGTTTTGCATTTCAGCAAGACAGATTAGCATCTGTGTGGGAAGTTTTGCCTTCCAGATTAGCTAGCTATACCTTAAACAAACTAGTTATACTTGCTACCAGACTTCTTGAATTTGTATTACCTGGATATTAGAAACACCAAAGTAATTGTCAGTCCATCTGCTACATATGTAAATAAAATCAAGTGCCTTTTGCCCTGTGATTTCCCTGGGGTGGCAAGATAAGAAAGATTTGTGTTCCAAAACTGCAAATCTCCATTTTTAGCAAAGGTGTGTCTGTGAGACTCATTGGCCCATATCCGGGCTCTGGTAGGAAGTATTAAAAATAATTTTATATCCATGATGGTTTTTAATCAGCATAATCTGCATTTTTGTTTTCATAATTTTCTATGAATAAAAGCAGAGGTCTGATTTTTTTTTTTTTTTTTTTTTTTTTTTTTTTTTCCCCCATATCATGAAGGAAAAGAGCAAGGCTGTGTTGCCATGGGAACTGGAATTGCAGCAGGATTATGGGATGTCGTTAGCTGTGAGAAGACAGCAAATTATTTTTGCAAACAGCAGGCAGCAGGAGTGCCACCTCCTGCTCCTCCAGGACCAGTCCCTGCAACTGCCTGTGCTGAAGGCTGGGACGGAGCCTCCTGGGGAGACTCATGCTTCAAAGTAAGTGTGTGTCTACCTCCTCTATGTGTCTGAGCACAGGGCGGCCCAGGGGTCAGTGCCCTGGTCACCGTTGTACTCAGGGACCCAGGTGTTGGGTCATTTTTGGGGAATGATCTTCTCCATGGTATTCAAGGGCAAAAAACATGAGAAAAACCATCAAATATAACTAAAGTCAACAATGGAAAACCTGAAACAATGAAAACGGAGTGCTAGAAATTTGTTTTATTTGAATACCAGGTGAGAGCCTCACCTAATTTATTTGCTTCCAGGAATGTGGTACTTCAGAAAAACATAGTATTGTATCTCAAGAGCTGGCAGTGTCACTTGTATAAGACAATGTTTCTAAAAGAAAACTTACGGAAACCTGGACCTCTGCCAATCTTTTCTCACACAGCATGAGATACTTTTAGTGATACTTTTAGATACGAGTTTAGTATGACACTGGTGACTCTTTGATTTGGGGCATTCTCTTGTTTTAGCTAAAATGCATTAAAAAGTCTCCTTTTTGAAAAGAAAAGGGGAAAAAAAAAAGTAAAGAAAAGGCAAAATAGATCAAGTAGAAGTATATATGCAACATTGGTCTTCCAGGTCTTTACATAGGTATCGTCTCACTTTCTTTCTTGACACTCTGCCTGCTGGGAAGCCAGAGACTATTTTAGCCCTGTATTTATAGGGGTCTACACTTCTATGTCACACTTAGCTATTGTTACTAACAATCTTGGTTCTGCCAGTTACCAAATCATTAATTATCCTTTCCCCAAAATGTCAAGCATCCAGTTTCTTACTTCAAGACTATACGTACTTCACAGTAGAAAGTGGAGCTATTTGTATGCTTGCACCACCCTACAAAAATCTCTTCCTTGGCCAGGGTCAGAACTTTGCCAAATGGTTTTCTCCACCCATACTATCTTTTCTATTCCAATGTATTGATTTTCCCTCCATCTTCCATTTCTCAAAAATCTCCTGCTTTCTGTTGCAAAAGACCACAACTGAGCTATTCCACATTTCCTTGAGTCTTTCAGTGGTGAAAGTTCTAATTAAGTTACAAATTATTCTTTCTTCTCTGTACATTGTGATAACATTTGTTCTGCTGAGATTCCTATGCTACTCTTGCCTAATTTTAAAATAGAGGATGATAAGAAAATAAGAAAAACTTATATTTTACATGACTAATATTTACTATTATAGATCTTGAGAGATGTTATGTTGCCTCAAGAAAGTGATACTGATATAATTACACAGGCAATTATATATTTTTATATGCCAAACTTTGCATATTTAGTAATTTATTTATACTTGTTGTTCTCAATAGTTTTTTGTGAGAGAGGGAAACGAAAAGAAGTCATGGTTTGAGGCTGAAGAATTCTGTAGAGCCATAGGAGGAAATCTGGTCACAATCAATAGAAGAGAAGATCAAATTTTATTATGGCAATTAGCATCGTGAGTACTTGCACGACAATTATTTTTCATGTTCATGTTATTACATAAGAATTCCTTCAAAATATATTTGAAGCTGGGCAAGTGGGTGAATAAACATAATCAAATTTTAAATTAAAATATAAATTTTTCATCTGGGAATATAATCCTAAACACTGATTTTTTTATATATATATATTTTTTTTTAATCTAATTGGATTCTGTGATGTCAAGACATCTCAATGGCACATAATATATAGCTATCTAACAAAAACTGTTTCACACAGCGGTGAATCTAGGTTTAATTTCTCAAATACATTTAAAACTGTCATATAGGAAAGTCTCTGTGATCTCACCCTTCTTCACTTTATTACTTTTCAGTATTGTAAGAAGCTGAACATGTTTATACTTGTCTGTTAAGTCTCTTTGCTTTAGACTATGAAATCTTTGTGGAGGCAAAACTTTCCATTATTTACTGAATGAAATAGGATTCTATTTTATATTGTCGATAGGTACAAGAAAAATAGCATGAACTACTAAATAAAACACATAGGAAGTACCAAGAAGCAAATAAAAGCATCTGAAAAACAATGTTCACTGTTTTTATTAGTTAATTTGCATTATATCTCTCCATTGATGTTTTACCTTTGCTAAAGCCTCTGTCTATGACCTCCTGCTACAGCCAAGAGCTGTATTGCAGTCCCAAGGATGGGAGGCTGAACTAACTCTGTGTCACGTCACTTGTCTTTTTACTTACATTCAAATATTGCAGATTTTTTTTTTTTTTTTTTTTTTTTTTTTTTTTTTTATCGCAGAGCCCTGTCAAACCCCTTGACAGAGTGCAGACGGTGAGCCTGGCTATGGGCCAACAGTGAAGGAGTAGCTGCCAATTCAGATGTGATGGAAAGCAGCATATTTCTATGCTTTCCAGCATTTATACCATGGCCCATCTTTACACACTCATGTATCTATATTGTATGATTTATTTTAGGGATAAAGGACTGCACACTCAGGCTTTCTGGATTGGTTTGTTTCTCTTAAATCCTGATGAAGGATTTGCCTGGATTGATGGTTGCCCTGTGAGTACTTATTTGTTGGTTATTAACTGACTTTCTGTCCTTTAGAATATATAGGTTTTCATCTTTTTATACCTTTTTTCCGATCCCTTTAAACCTTTGGGAGGTGCATGGCAGCCCTTTATCCATCAGCTGAACAGTTGAAGTGCTCAGTGATGGCACTATCAACACACTGATGGAAGTACAAAATTGCCTGTTTCATCCCTGGTGCCATGTTATATTCCACCTTTCACAGTCTGTGTTCTTAGATCTTCACACCATTCCAGATTGGGCACTGCTGTACATCAGCACAGAGAAGTCAGATTGCCATCTTTCACAAAGCAAGACAAAGACAACTCCTTCTGCCCATCAGACCATCAGACACATACTTTTCTATACCATGTAATCTTTACACCTTCTCCAGGGAGCAATGGGGAAAGTAAGCCAATCAGCGTGACTTTCACAGCCCTGTCAGAGCTCTCCGAACTCCTATTGTTCCCATAAAGAAGGTACTTGAGATGATGAGCTCCTGAAATTGTGTTAAAATGGCAATCTCAATTACTTCCACTCCGTTCAAATCACATAGTAATTGAGAGGTATTTCCAACACAGGTAATTTATGAGAACTGGGATGAAGATGAACCCAACAACCATGAAGAACTTGAACATTGTGTTATGTTTAATAGATCACCCCAAATGCGCTGGAACGACTTGCGCTGTGAACATTTACTTAATTGGATTTGTGAAACAAAAAAAGGTATGATTACATCCATATTTAATTGGAGCCATAAACCCAAGTTCAGAAACAAATTGTATGGATTTAAACAAATTGAAAAGAAGAAAGATACTGAGAATTGCTCATTTTAAAACCAGTTGCAGTGAAGGCAACACATAAAGCAAGAGGAATGAATCAAGGTATTTCAATTGGACTCAGACACAGGAAGTTAAAGATGTCCCTTTAACTTTATCTCTGGCTTTATCTCTTTCTGCCATGGGTTGAATAAGTTTTCAAGACAAAGGTACTTAACCCCTCTCCTTTTATCTCCTCCCTGTATTTCTATCATCTGGTTCAGGCTTACCCAGGAGAGCCAAAGGTGCAAGACAATGGAGTTCTCTGTACAAAAGAGAAAAAAGCTTTGCTTCCCCCCTGTGAAATCAATAATGGAAACCAAAGAGGGACATCAGTTGCTATAGGAATTAGGAACTCTAAAAAGAGATCAAAAGCAGAGGCTGGTGTAGCCTTGAAGGACTCCCATATCCCCCAGCTTTGCCTGAGAGGCAGGACCCTAATGCCAGGCCTCCCTCACCCGGTGCCAGGGCACACAACCTGATGGATGTGCACTGGGGTGCACTGGGGTGCCTGCCAGTGGGAAAAGGGGTCTTCATGGGCTGAGGATCCCAAGTGACAACCAATAATGGAAGAACTTGTTTCGCTTACTTGGTCATACTTTTACATCCCTGCTTCCTGGTTTTAAACCGAGTACTTATATGCATCTCCATGGAGCAGGTGTTTCTTAGAAGTTTCTTGAAATGAAAAGAAATTTTGAAGCACATGGGGTAATAGTAGGAGGCACAATAGAGAGGGGAAGGGAGAAGCAGTTATATAAAAAGCACCAAGTATAGCTAGTATTTGATGACTCTGCCAACAAACTGTCACCCTTAAACAGAAAATAAAGCACCATGCTAACATTGAAGAACTGCTCAACCAAAAAGGAGGAATCACTATTCCCTTGTGGTTAGATTAGTCATACAAATGCACCATCAAAACATTGACTTCTGTATATCGACTTGAAGTAGTACAACCCATGCAGCCCTTTCCAGTGTGCTGAGCACACTGCTTTGTACAGGTGTACTCTGCTCTTGGCAAGATTACTCAGGAGGGGTTCAGAAACCATGATGTAAAGACTCTGATCAGTTTATCTTGATCCTAGATTGCCTTTCAAAAGTAAAGAAAGAAACCAAAACCCAAAATAATTAAATCTTGTTATTGTGAATCTAGGTTATATGATGATCAATGTAAGAGGAGAGATTCTCAGCTGTTAATTCACTCATTCACTTAAGATTCATATTTACTTAAGATACTCCATCTTTTTGAAAAACAAGGAATGTTATAGTTATGTTAGGATTAAAAAATAAATTCAAAATGAGGTGAAGTATGTAAATTCGTTATGAAGATATTTGGATAATTTTAGTTCTATTCTTTACTAAATACTTAAGAAGAAAATGTTTAAAAGCTCCCAACAGAAGAAATTTTAATTTTTTTTTTTTTTCATTTGTTTGCTTCTTTCTCATCTAAACTGTTCCTGTCATTTCTTTATGTGTTCCTCTCCATCTCTAAACTGTTCCTGTCATTTCTTTAATTATGTGTTCCTCTCCATCAAACCATGGAGAAAACTAAGAATAGAATTAGTAGTCCTTGTGAGGAGCAAAGTAAAAGACATCCAAAGGAAAGCAGAGCTACCTTTGAGGGGTTACACCTGGCTCTGGGAATGGCAGCAGGTTAACTGCTTCTTCCCGGTCCATACTGTAAACAGAAACTTGGGTTTGGTATCTACTGGCTCTCCAGGGCTTTTAAAACCAGACTTTCTTAGTAAAAAACAAGCCATTTGGCAAGGAGGAGTGCACTGAGACACTGGAAATGATGTGTGGTATTAACAAAATACTAGCATTAAGCTTCCACTAGTTGTAAATAGTTTACTACTATGTAGGTAAGCTTGAGAACTTAGTGTTTTGGCTGGATTATGCTGTTTCGCTATAATCACATGAATATAAAAAAAAATAATAATAGCATGCCAAGTAAAAATACTAAATAAAATTTCAGCTTATGTGAGTTTCATCTACAAAGTGTTTACTGCACATCCTGGATTGTTTAATACAGTGAGATGGAGATACAGATATATCCTGTAAGATACATATTTTTCACTAGATAAATGTTTCTAAATTACACATATTTTAAATTTATTTTTTTTTTTTTTTTTTTTTTTTTTTTTTTTTCTCTAGTATACAAGCATTTACAACTACATAAAGTGAATCTCTGGATTTTTTTGTATTTGCAATGTTGCTCATGACAATCTTCTATTTTACAGGTACACTACTAAAGCCTGAACCAAACGTCAAATTTGGTAGGATTTTTTTCTCTTTCAAATAAAAGGTTATTGTATAATATTCAGACTTTGTACAGACTAGATATGAATGTAATATATATGATTGTTTATCTTCCAGAATTCCAAGCCACTAATGATGGATGGATTATATATGAAGATAAGCAGTATTATTTCAGCAAAGAACGTGTCCATATGGAAGAAGCACGGAGAATTTGTCAGAAGAACTTTGCAGATCTGGTTGTCATTGAGAATGAAAGCAAAAGACAATTTCTATGGAAATATGTAAGCACTGAGCCTATTAATTATAACTGAATTCTGAAGCACGGCAGCTGATAAAAGGAACAGCCTATCTCTTTATCTATGTTCGAGTCCTGAGCTATTGCCCTACATTACTTATTTATATAACAATATATTTGTTCAGGACCTGTAAAGAAAATACTATTGCATTTAGCAGGTAGAGGAAAAAGTCATGCAAATGCTAAAGGTGCAGCAAAGGATAGTTCAGGCATAGGTTGCTTGTCTCTTCTAAGATATGTAGTATTCAGCACAGTGGTTATTGCTTTCCTGTCCAGTGGGTTCCTCACTCCAGGATGTTCCCCATATCCCTGTTGTCTGCTTGAAACCTGGGTCTGAACATACAGCTTTCTTGCCTGAAGCTCATATCCTGAAAAAAAATCAAGGTCATGGTTAATGGGCTTTCAGAGTTTTGGTTGATGTTCAGGAACTGTTTAGTGCTTAACTGTTAATAATTTTTGTTTTAGATTTACACAAAACTCAAAGCGGAATCATATTTCATTGGCTTAGTTGTCAGCTTTGATCAGAAATTCAGGTGAGTAAAGGAAAACTGTTCATGGACAACAAATGATGGTAATTTCATCTTGCTCTGTCAAAGCATTTGTTTGTGCTTTCATTTTACAAGTTAATAACTGTTGTACAATTGACCTCTGGATAGTTTTCATGAGACGTCTCAGACCAGAAGAAATAAGTTCTTCTATATTTAAACACAGCAATGTCTTTTCCTTCCAAATCTGAGAGAGCAAAACTAATAGAAATTCATGGCTAAGATTCATTTCACTTAATGTCTTACAATGAGAGAACTGAGTTAAACACCCAAGCAACCCTTCAGAGGTAGCAAGGAGAAGCAGCTAATTTTAGGAAGTTATTCACCTGATCCATTTTAGACATCAACCTTAGAATGAGATTAGCTCTGATTGGGTCTCCAACAGCTACAGGGAAAGCCCAGAAGGTTTTGATAAAATGTCTATATAAAGGTTTACTTAGACCAATTCCAGTCGTTCAATTTATGTGAGCTGGAAGCAAGAAGTGTAAGCAACATCTCGCCTAACAGCTTTCTGAAATTGCTGGTAGGGAACCTGCTTTAGAAATCTGCTTTTCTGGGATGAAAGTGAAGTCTGTGCACTGATGAGATCTTGGGGTTTCAGTCTGTCCAGACCATAAGAAGCCTTCCCTTTGAGTGTGAGACTGTTTATCCAACCTCTGGCAAAATGGGATACTCATGGGACTTGAATGTGATAGTACTAAACAGATGAGAAGCAGCAGTAATGCTGAGGATATGTCCTCTCCATTAAATGTAGAGCCTTTGCCTTCTGGTCACTGTTAATACCTTGCTTTGCTCTTTACTTAAACAAACCCTTGTAACTAAATGACTGCTGGAGTTGTCTGTCTGGCAGTCACTGTCCTCTTCTTTCTTTCAGCTGGCTGGATCAGACCGCAGTGAACTATGTTGCCTGGGCTCCGAACGAACCCAATTTTGCAAATAACGATGAAAACTGTGTGATAATGTCAAAAGATTTTGGTGAGTACAAAATATTTGGTTGAAAATTTAGCATCAAAATCCAAAATGTTTGCTACATATTTAAGTTTGAGTCTGAAGTAGTTGAACAATACTGATAGTTTTTCATAACAAGTATGCTGAGTTTTAAAACCACACCATCACTACTGGAGACATACTGCAGAGGAAGGAGGAGTGTATATGGGTAAATGTGTGCATGGTAACTGTTTCTGGAAGCTTTCATTTGTGCTTTATACATACCGTCTGGGGCTTGACTGCTGTGGTGGTCGTACAAGAGTTTCAGACAGTGATTCTCTGTATTCCATTTATTTACAGGCTTTTGGAAAGATATAAGCTGTGCTGTGAAAAATGCCTTCATTTGTGAAAGGCACAATTCAGTTTATTCAGGATTTGCTTCTACTGTACTTCCACCTCTGGGAGGATGTCCAGAAACTTGGCTTTTGTTTAAAAATAAGGTGCAGTAACAAATCTCAGCCATACTAAGCAGATTTGCTACAGGTAGAGAAAACAACTCTCTCTTTTACCTCACTGTGTAAATTCTCTCACCTTATACACCAGTTTATTAAGTGGTATTCTAATTAGCAGTGTAGTCAATTTTCATGTTGGCAAGTCCATATCTAAATCTCAAAATTAGAAGGTTTTGAGTCATAATGTTTGTAAATGTCCAAGTCGCAGTTACTTTTTCAGTTTCTAGAATTTTCTATTTATTTTAGACATACTTACTGCATGGAAATCCTGTTTCATTATCCTTATCTATAAGTGTAAGTCCCTTTTTCTGAGTAACACTGAGATGAAGAAATAAAAGGTCAAAATTTTCATATATAATTGGCGATCACAACTTATCTTAGGTTGAGTAACACAAACAGCAATAAATGTTAAATCAAATATAGAAAACAAGCAAGCATTGCTTTTTGCTAAGTTAAGCAAAAGTACACTTGGCCATAAGAATTAAAAAAAAACCAACCACCAACCCCCCCCC